CATACTGTGCTAAAGAAAAGGAGAAACTTAAACAAACCAAAATGAAATGTAAACAAAATTAATGGTCTGACTTAAAGCCACAAAACCATAGAAACCCAGTAAAGTCTGAAAATCCAGCTTGACATCGTGTCCCTCTCTCAAGTTCGTGTGCCTTTTACTCATTTGGATTTCTGTGGGTTTTTTTCTTCACAAAGGATAAGGGTAATTCTAGTTGAAGAATGTTATGTGAGCAAAATCACATTTCCCATAATACTTTTCAAATTTTTCCACTTACTTTTCAAATTTCAGGTCTTGGTAATGAAAACTGTATTACAGGAAAAACAGATACAGTCCCAGGTTAAGCAAGAATACAAAAATCTTAGACTATATAAAGGATTATCCAAAGTTTATCCAGCCCTCACACACAGGGGAGCCTAAACCAGACCTTTCTTGAATTCAAGGCATACTTTTTAAATAAGAAAAAGACTTGCCCTTGAGGCAAATTAGCTGGCAATAATTTGATCTGGCACTGTCTCAATATGCTATCATTATCTTGCTCTCTCACATATCCAAGTCTGTTTCTTCCAGGTTGAGGAGAGGCAAGACTGGCTTTATGAACAGGTAGCTTATCCACTGTCTAAGGCACTGGTCTCCAAAGTGGGGTGCACGTTCCCAAGGGGGGCACAAGACAATCAATGGGTGTGCAGGAAAAAAATATTTTTTGTACTATTAATAAATCAAATTAAAAAAACAAAATTGTGTTTATTTCATCTTTATTTCATCCTTTTTAATTTCTGTATTTGGGTATGGTTTACAATGTACTTAATATATTAGTACAGTAGTACATCTATATAATTTATAAATAAATATATATCTATTGAGCGTGCGTGCTGCAAAATATTTTACTCATTATTAAAAACTAGTGAATATATATACTGCTTGAAAATACCTTCACCCAGAGACCCGGCCTGAAAAAATACAGTACCAAGAACTGGTATTTCTTCAGCTTGGCTGAATTTGCCCTATTGCTGCTCATGATTTTAGGAAAATACAGGGGCACCTACCCCTCATTCCATCATACTATAGGTTTAGCTTAACTAGCTTTCGTGCTATACCCTTTTAAATGCTCTTGTCCAGCTGTGTAGAAAACTGAATTTCTGTCTAACAAACCAATTATCCAAAAGTCTGTAAGAAACCATTCAAGTCTCTTTACAGAATATCTCAGCTCATCACAGGGTTTGAATTTTACTGTATAATACAGAGGGCAACAAAATGTGAAAATACAGAGATTTCAAAACTCTGACCATGAGAAAAGTAAAAAACCCTTCTGTTTCCCCAGTATGTGACATTCTCTAGACTCCTTTTTGGGTTCCTTTTCATTATCTCGGAATAACTAGTTTCTGAGAAGGATCAAAACCACAAGTAACCTCAGAAAAATGCTTTGGCTTTAAAAAAAGGACTAGAAATCTAATGGGAAGAATTGTTACTATATAACTTCCAGTCCAATATAACAGATACAGGTGGCTCGGGTCATTCTTACAAACATTAGATTAGCCTCAATTTCAGATGCTTTACATTAAAAAAGCTTTTTTTTTTTTTTTTTAAGTTACCTTTAGGATGTGAGGATATATTCTTACCTCAGTTTAAATCAGCGGGAATTTTGCCATAATCTCCAAGGGGCCCTTACCTTCTACGATTTTGCCTTAACAAGATATCAGTGTTTGCCAAAAACTGCATCCTGATTTATTTGCAAATTATTGCTAAAAATATTTGGCTTAACATGTAATGGGTTCAAATTCTCACACGGTGTAAATCAGTGCAGCTGCAGAGCTGTGCCAATTTAATCCACCTGAGGATGTACCAGTGGGGTTTTCCCTATTCAAGATCATTCATAGAAATAAAGTAATTGTTCTAAAATCTTCCTCGTTTTACACAACAGGCAGTCACAGCAGTTTCACCCAGGGCTACTGCACTAAGTTGCAAATCAAGCAAATGCCTCCATTCAAAAATATATTATTCCTTGAAAGTAAGTACACAATTAACCTACATTTTTTATTCAGTCCTGGAACCACACAGTATTTAAATGCTGTATTTAAATTTAGATAACACAAATGCAAACACACCTTTGCAACACTGCTTACAATAGAGAAACTTTGAGTAACGGTGGTTCATATCTAGTAAAACTAGCCACACCTGTGCAAGATCCTCTTTCAACCTCCTTTTTTCAAAAAACTATGTTTGTATAAGGGAGAAATTTGCTATATGAGTACTTGAGCATTTATTAGACTAGTTAAGAGAGATAAAAGAGAAAGCTTTAAGAGAGAGAGAAAGAAAAATAAACACCTTAACACAACTGCATCTGTGAAGCAACCTCTTCCCCATTACTTCTACTGGCATGTACTTACTCCATGCTGCTGCAGAGTAGAAGAGAAAGGTTTTTCTAGCTGAACCATAAGTATTTATGAAAAGTTAGGAAATTTTGGTATTTGCCTAATTTTAAAATAATATAAAGCATTTGGAAGTCAAAGATTAAACAATGTAAGATATGAGACAGCAAATCCGTGTCATATAAAATAATTTATGATACATATGAGCTCACATTGCTTCACTGGGTTGATGAATCAAAGCTCACATAATGCAAAATACTATAAAGTAGAAAGACAAAATCAAAAGACGTTACCTAACTTCATGAAAATGAATTTATCAGGTAGGAGTTTACAGCATGGAAAGTTCTTGTTAATTGTTTCACCGGCAAAGTATCTTGATTTTAGTTAAATCTTTATTACTGTCCTGTAAAAAAGCACTAACAGATTGGATAAGAAATAGAAAACTTAAAACCCTTCACCTGCCCATCATCACTCTAATGACCAGCTACCAAATGCTTCTTCAAAATTTCCAGCAAAGGGTAGGAGTGACCATCAAGTGATATCTTTTGGTGCAAAACTTGTTTCTTCAGCTTCCACTCTGCCATACTCTCTTCTGAGTGCAAGTTCTTTTCACTCAGAGCACTATGCAAGTGCTGTTTGAAATACATTGTTGAAGATGGCCAACTATCCATTGGCTTTCATGGAGTAAGGATTGTAAAATATGTCCTAAATTACCCCTGAAATACCTGCTGACTTCCCTGAAGTTGTAACAGCAGTAAGTAACTTCAGTAAGCAAGTACTGACTGACAATGGCTAATCATCAATCTGACTGTCAACAGAGGTGTATTTACCACTCAGTTTCACGTATCTGAGGATTTATGTGGCACACATGGTTCTTGTTGCACTCTGTGAGACGT